TGCTACTTTTCAGGTTAAGACCGAGTATGTTTTGTTAGAACCTTTTTATTTTATGTTGTGTTCTGTCCATTGCCTCTGACAGACTTATCCAGACCCTTTTACAAATATTAAATGGCTATCTGAAAATATTGACACACACAAAATATATCCCTTGATATGAAGTCTATTCCTACATGCACATAAATAATTTCGTTAATTGTAGTACAAAGCAAAAAGAAAAAATGCAAATGTTGGAAATGTGAAACTGGATTTTGACACCTGCAGTTCCCGTGTTTTTAAACAGATGCTGTTTGATCTACTGAGCATTCCCATAATTTTCTGTTTTGATTATGATTTTTTGATTATTACAGCATTACACTACATCAGGACTCATGCAACTAGGCATTCATTAGAAAAGTGCTGATTATAGTAGCATTTTACTTTAGTGGGGTTGATTCTGAAATGTGTTCAGTATAAGGGGGGTGAATAGAAAATTGTTTCATAATAACCAGTCAGTTAAAATATTGTTTTACTATAAAGATTTTACATTACGCAGAGCGTCACCAAATCAAAACATCACTAAGACTGGACTTCAATGTAACACAGCTAATTGCTGTAATTCGCCAAGGTAAGGTTCATGGTAGCAAGACTTCATTATGATACAAATCCATGGATTCAATATCTCAATGTTTCATTATGATGTTAGTAATTAATATGATCTCATTCTGATGCATTTGATTATATCCCAGGATTACTAAGACGTGATTTCTTATATATTTAAATAAAGGGTTTGGATTCAAAAGCATTACATTTTAAAATGGTGAAAATTACCTAGAATCAGAATAATAGGAGGTAATTTTAAAATATTTCATTAGAACAGTGGCCAACAGTAACAGGTCTGTGTTTGGCCTTGCAGCAAGGTTTCCTTAAATTGAAGACATAGTATCCTCTTTGTTAGCTTTTATTAACATACATTTATGTAAATAGCTGTCATACTGTCTGTGCTTTTAAAATCCCTCCTGCAATCCATATGTATATTGGGTTGTGATGAAGGTCTACCTAAGTATTGAATGAATTTCCCTTCTTTAGCCAAAATATAGGATATTATCTTGAACAATTAGAATTGATACATTATTAGATTTGAATAGATTGATTTTATCCCAGATAGCAGTTTGAAATTTTTGAAGGGGCACTTGGGACAGTAGCCTACAAGCAACACAAAGAGAAATAGAAATCCAGAGGTCAAAGAGAGGCCATGAAAATGTTTTCAGGAGAATTTTGAGGATGAAAAGACTGGAGAAAGTGGAGACAGAGGGAGGGAATTTCCTTGCTAGGTGCAAAAACTGTCACTGAAAGGACAAGAAACGAAATTATGCTTGCGTGAAAGGATAGCAGGGAGCAACTTGAATCTAGGACTGGATGAAGACTAGATAGAGCTATGGCATATAAAATTGATACATGTCAGACGATAGGAAATTAACTTGTGAGGGTTTAATTATATTTTAATCATCAAATATTACCTTTGATAGGAAAAACGTTTGTTCATTAAATAGGATTCACCCACTGTACTTTCCTTACCAGAAATTAATGATCCCGCTACCGAGGAGTCCAAACAAGATCAAGGCCTCTGATGATTGCTCGAATGTCCTGACCAATAAGCATAAGGCAGTCTGGTCCTCAACAACGATGCACGTACAAGTAATGCAAAGTCGGAGAAGTCTTTTGTGAGAAATATTTTTAGACATTAGGCAGTTACTTTAAAGCCTGAGGCCTTGATTTACAGACACGATAATGAGAAACTTGCATAAGTTGAAGTAAAGAATATAAAAAAGGAATTTGCATTTATATAGCTTCTTCGTCAACTTCAAAGGCTCTAAAGACGTTTTGTCCAACAACATACATGTTCGAAGAGCTGTCCATTGTAATTATTTCCGTCACTCAAGGTGAGTGGCGCTAGTTACCATTGTGTGGTAGGGAAATGTATTAAGCAGTGCAATTTTAAATTATGCTAATATTTTAAGATTTGGACTTTGAATCTGAAATGAATTCTTCAACAGAGGAAAGTGTGGTTTCATATTAATACCCCAATCTTTAGCTCGGCAGGTGATTACTCCAGCACGCCCTCTGATGTTCAATAAACTTCATTACAGGAAGCCCGACATTCCTCTGGATAATGTTGATCTGAAGAGAAGATTCGGGGTATTTTCACACCGCTATTCTACCAAGTAATTCTGATGTCATGGGGAACCTTATTCATCTCCCTTCGTCAGAGTCGCAAAATTCTGATTTCATTATCGATAGCTATCTCCTGTCCTGTTGCAGTAAATTCAAAACTCAAATTCCATCAAATCTGATTGTGTTCGTTAATTAATATTGACTGGATTTTAAAAAGATGTTTAAGAAAAAGAAGTCACCTATTAAAACAGAATAATCAAGTTAGTTTAAGTATAACATATCTAATTCTTTATCATTGCAATTTTAGTGCTATATGAAAATAGGTTCAGAAACTTTTAATAATCAGTACTTTGATTAATATATTTTAATAATCTACGGTTAACGCAAAAGACGCTTAATCCTATACAAAACAGAGCAATAGTTTATCTGACCATGCATATACAATTGTTTACTCTCTGTCATATTCATTATAAATTTGATGTTTGGATGTTGAACTTACACAGCAATCTGTTTTGTATTTAATAATTAGCTTAATACTAAGTTGCAGCTTCACAAGAAGTCTGCAATTGAACAATTGGTCCATGCATTCGAATCTTTTCAAATAATATAACACCTTCTGAAACTGGAAGTATACACTACAGGTACTATCTTCCATTTGCAAACAAATATACCAAACTCATTGCAGCTGAAACATCTTCAGAGTTTCTCTGAAGCAGGGAAATTTTAGTTTAATATTTTAAACATTGACTCAAGGCCGTTGTATTGGACTTGTATGAATGTCTGTCAAAAGATGCAAGTTCTTTATATAGGGGACTCAGACCTCCTGCCGTTTGATTTTATTACTGTTTCTTTTTTTTCAGAAGAACGCTTGAAAGAGAAGAACCACTAATTTCGACCGTAGGAAATGAGGAAAAAATAATTATTATTTGGATTACGTCCTTCAAAATCAACTGTTCAAACAGGCATCAATGAGTTTCAGAAAGTGAAAAATCACTCGTTTCAAAACGAGCTCTGGCATTTTTCAAAACTCTTGCATTTCAATTAATCTCTGGTCATTTCATTAAAGAACTATACCGTAACTTATATAAACCATGAAGAGTTAATTCTTATAGAATCGTCTGTTTGCACTGATTTGAGATAAAGCATCTCCTCATGGTCAGTTTTGGTGATGAAATATAATGCGTTGAATACAACTAGTTTAGAGTTAAGTATAACTGAAGAACCTAGATGTGTGTGTCTCTGTGCAAGACAGTGTGAGCCAAAGAATACAATGCAAGTAAAACTCGAGAAAATAAACATTAGAACGAACCCTTCCTGATATGACATGCTGTGATTATTTATCAGTTTCGATGAAGGGTATGCTTCCAGATATCAGTCTTGTTTTTTTTCTTTTGATTTGGGCGCATATTCTCTGGTTCTCATTTGCTAGAATTCCTGTAACTAATGTCAGTTTAGCGAATCGTTGGACTGAATATATTTATATTGCCATGACTTCTTTAACATATTCAAATGACTCAGAAATGTTTAAAATTCTGCAACTCCGCCATAGGCCATTCAGCCGATCGAGCCTGTTCCGAATATTTAAATTAGTTATCGCTGAAATCCAATTACCCGTCTTTAATCCATTCCTGTTGGCCTTAGCCAACAAAAGGGTATCGAACAGAGTCTCGGCAAAGTAAAAATGTACATCAACTCTACTAAATCCCTCACTCAATTAAAACACCTCAGCCAGTGCACTCGTCAATGTTTCATGAGTATGCTCGCCATTGTAGGGAAGCTGTCCTCATAATGGAACTCTTTACGCCGTGTTCTTCGCACTAAAATACGCGTATGTTACAACAGTGAACGTGTTTCTATGTAATTCATTGTATGTCACTTGTTTAACACTGTGATAATTCAATTAAATGGAGATATTGTCAGGTTATAAGATAAAGTGCAAAACTGTGTGTGCGTTTGCCAGTGTTGCTTTGTGATCAGTTCTCCAGCTTTTCTATTGGAAATGCCTTCATTGTTTAGCTTTTCTTAATATCTGGCGTTCGTCAGATATGAAGGTGTTTTAAAATCCATGCACTACAAAAATCTGATAAACCTCAGAAGTATCCAGTGCTTCACAATAATGGCAGAGACCTGACTTTCTTCTGTTGGTGGCGTCAAGATTCGGAGGATTGACGGCATTTCACCCAAATAACTAACTTGTTTAAATTCTTTTAACCCGACAAGTAGCTCTGCTGTGCTAATTACAAGTTCATTCACAAAATGTGATAAGAATAGAATGTTTTATGTGTTTTCTTCCTTAGTGAATGTTTCCGGAAACATCCGTTTCAAGTTGCAATTATTCTTCCCTCCATAACTTTCATATTTGAAGGTGGTATCCTTCACGTTAACATTACTACCAGAGACGTTACTGAAACAGCTATGTGTTTGCTGGTCTGTTTGCGTATCCATCTCTTTATGTGTCACAGTAGATATGTATTCTACGTTCACAACCTTCTTGACAGCATGTACCTTTGCTGTGTTTGTATATATTTAAGCGTATCAAATGGAACACATTAGTACGTGTAAGGGATTGTAACAATTTGCATGCGTAAAGGCTTCCTGTACTTGTGTGTGAGTTTACGATGATTGTATGTGTCATAAGCTAAAGAGATACTGCAAATATTGACATTTATTACAAAATAACAGAAATATTGACTATTTATAGTTTTGCAACGTCTTCGAAATGGCAACCGAAGTCCGGAAAGCGTATAGGTGTAAAATATGACTTATGCATCCAACGCAAACTGGGAAATGGAAATTCGAGTACTGCAAGAGTTAATATGTGCACACATTGCATGAACGCTGACGCCTTCAGCTTCTGTTAATGCTGTCTCAAGTTCATCCCTGTACGCTGTAAATTGAATCACATCGGCATTTTTGTCCCAGGTTGCTTCCTGTATAGAATATTAACCTAGTAACAGTGAGTACTTTGTTCATCATGTCCTTTACAGTATTTGTCTCTCTGTCTCTTTGCTATAATAATTGTATCTGTGAACTTCTCTTGTTTATTTCTTCTAAGCTCCGGTATGTGCATCCTGACACTATTCCCCCTCCCTACAGTCTCGAAACTTATTCACAACTTTTCCTTGCGCTTCGCTCCATTTCCCGAACCGAACAACTTCTGGTGTCCATCTCTTTCACCTTTCTATCGTTTTCAGAATTTTAAAGCCATATTTTGGCATCACCTAATGATTTTCGAATGGACGTCCTTGTTTAACGATTTGGAGACTTTGGCCTGAAATACATGAAGGACAGTGGTTTTCACCTTGATCTCTTTACAAAAAATAATATACCGGTTTACAACCTTTTTTTCTTAAAAAAAGCCTACTCTATTCATCGACTTTGAAAATGATATCTGTGCAGTTTTGACTTTGAGCTTCACGCGGTTGTCATGGACAGCTACAGTCCGCCGACGCTGGAATTTATACCCCGTGGATTCGTTTACATTTCACCCCACTTTATTCGTGTTTCTAGTGATGGGCAAGAAAGTGTTTAGTTTCCATGAATTGTGGAAAATGCCTGCAATCTTGTTGTTCTCGGATACAATTTCCATGGAGCAGCAACTCGTCCGGAGCAGTTCACGGTTTAAGGGACACATTGTTCTGAATGAGTCAATAATTAAAATCCCATTGTGCATATAGAACAAGAATCACTGTTTTAAAGAAAAGGGTTGCGATGTAGACAGGTTGCTTTTGTTTATTAAAATAAAGTCACGGAAACGTTCCATTGCTACCTAGCACTTTAAAAATACTGTAATCCCGTCGAAAATATGCACCTTGGGAATAGACCTATAAATTCTTTCATGCGGCGTATTTACAGGGAAACGAATTTATTTCAATTCATGCTTCGATTAAGAGAAAGAGAATCTTATTTTGTGAAACGTGCCCCGTTTCTTCCTCATTCGCAGTAGAATTATACGAGTCATCGGGACAAAAAATAAGTTCGGGACTACGGATATTAAAATGACACTGTGCCTTTTTTCGAGTCGCTTAGGTAACCATTAAAAATGCAAATTAAACCTGTCATGTTAATCTGTCCTTTTGCGTATGTGATAAACTCGATTGTTTTGTCGCGTTTGCAGAACATTTAACGTTAGTTGTTACCGCTTATGAAAATCCATAGCTTTAAAATATTTATTTTTCGCAAAAGAGCTTCATCCAAAAGGAAAATGTTAGACAAACATTAGAAATTTAAAGGAAAGGTAAAATTGTTATAAATACAGAGCATCAAGCAAATTGTGAATACTAAAACGCGGACGAACGTTTCAGATCTTTGCCAATGATTAACTTGCCCTTTGTCGCCATCCTCCTATGTACATCCAGAAACACTCATTTTCTTTCCGGACCAACCATTTTCTTAGTCTCGCTCTTGTATTTCTATTTGTACTAGTTTCTATTAATAAATACGTAGTAAACCAGTTATCCTGTCTTATTTTAAGGCTAGATTAAAAGCTAACAAGTTCGGAAAATCACGTTGTGGTGATGGATTATTTGTCGATATATTTTCACGAAGGCTATAATTCTGGAATTAATTAGTTTTTTTACACAGCTGTGGAATGCAATTTGCAACATTCTCATTGTCACGCCGTGATGAACTTACATTACATTTTAAAAGTTTCAGCAAAAGTAAAATTATATACAACTGTAATTTTTGAGAGATTCTGCAAGTGATTATTTTATAACTAGTTGCATTTTTTTTGCAAAATGGAGGTAGATGTGTGAACATAAAACAGTGCGTCGGTGAAAAATGTCTTTTGGCAGGGAATTCTTGCACGCATTTGGACAAAGATATAAATTTGTGTTTTAAGAGCTTACTAGAAATGGTCGTTTCGTATACATTGTGCCTGTTAATGTTTGATAGTTAAATGCGTTTGCTAACCATTTCCTATGAATATCAAATAACGATAGCTTTTTACTGAGTGGGCACTTACGTGCATTGAGAAACAAGCCCTAACCACAGTAATTTGTTTGGCAGTTAATTAAAATTGTTTTTATGTTAATATGTACACATCAATGTTTTCGACGGTGAACATTTTTAAACATTTTTTAGCTCACCTGGGTCCCGAATATAGTCCTGCAATGGTGCTAATTAGTAGTCAGCATTATGCATTTCTATGTTTATTCGGTAATTTGCAAACAAATATATTTGTTAATTTCACATTTCTCGTGTTTAAGATACAAACCTGCAACAAACTCTTGAAAATCTATAAAACATAACTGAGCTTTAAATCGATGTTATGGCCAACAATTTTTAAAACAGTCTTTTATGAATTATTTTCGAGAATTAACTGCAAGGTTTAACTGGCGACCCATAAGAGAAAAAAGCTCGGGTATGTGAAAACCTCTAAGCAATGTGTTCTCAGTCAACTCCTCATGTTGAAAAGTGAAGCGTTTTCCTTCAATGTTTTGCTGTGTCGTAGTGTTGGAATGAAGCAAATCAGTAAAGTGAAAGGGAAAACTTATTTCAGTTGAACACAAAGTTCGAATGGTGTAAATAAGTTATTGAGGTAATCCATGTTTCAAAGCAATTGTTGCAGTTTTGCCTTCAATTTCAAAAGAAAATAAATAACCACATTTATGCCACATTCCACATGCTTGATCGGCAGAACAATGGCAATTTCAACGTTATACTTGCATACACTCACTGGAACACGGCGTATTCATTTTTGGTTGGATAACTATGTCTCAACAGACTTGTAATTAAAATTATTGTTAAACAGCCAGACTGGTACAAATTAACTACTGTACTTTGGGAGGACAGATTGTTCAAGTCACCTTGAAATGACATTTTAAATCAAATATCCCAATGAATAAAACTGTGCAGTCGTTTAGCAAACAATTTAGTGAAAATAAATAATTTGAATAGATATTTAGCGGATTGGCAATATTATGTCAAGGTGATTTGTAGTTAAATGCAGACGCCTACGACAGGCCTTCACATATACATAAATAATTCTTAGTTTCAAAAGATGAGATCAATTCATTAGAAGTAGCTTGGCGCAAAATGTGTTCTGTCCTTAGCTGTGTGCCACTTTAAATCGACACCACAGCCAACACAGAAATGAAATATATCAACAGCATGTATATATTTTTTTAAAAACCCTGCAGACTTTAGGATGTTGGATCCCGAAGTGCTTGGTACCAGTAATGTTGCAATCTTGACGCGATCACCTGATCACATCACACGTGACATGTCTCAGTACGTCGAACGACAGAGTAAAATGAGACGCCATACATTGTCCTGTGATGCATATGAAAAAAATGAAACCAAAAAATGAATGGTATGCATTTCAGCCTTAAGTCCTGTCTTGGATTTAGTGAGGCAGCTGAAACCCTGCACCGCAAGAAGCTAATCCCTTTCCATTTAGATAGCTTTATATGTTTATTGGCAATGAAATTTGACAATGCAGCTTCACTATACTAATTAAACATGTCCCTCATCTAAAATAAAACCTTTTCTATGAACCTCGTCACCTAAAAAAAGGGTTGCGGGGCGAAAATTCGACAGAATTGAATCTTTACTTGTGTTTCCAACGCCTTAGCTTCCACTCGAATAAACATCCGCTCCAGAATGAGCGACAACCAAGTTCCACAGGGGAATGCGTCCAGGAAATAAAGTTTAAGTCTGGAACCGTTTCAAGGTTAGAAACTGCAGGAGGGAAAACAATTGCGCGACAGAAATAACAAGAGGAGTTCACTCATTTGCAGCCAATCGCCCCAGATACGGTCATAAACTGCTCAGAACTTTAGCAGAGGCAAGGAAATTCCAGCAAGACGTTTCTTCTAATTTATCAATGCCATATTTTACAATCTGGAATTCCTACACATACAGAATATTTACACCTTAAATTATTTAATGGTACTTTAGATCTTGAGAACACAGCATCAAACATCCATGATCAAGTACAGTTTGCTTTCACAGTGGCCTTGTTTATTTTGTCCAGAGTTGTTTAAAAATATCTATCCACCAAATCAGCAAAGTGCAAATAAGCCAAAGCAAATAAGCATTTCCAAAATATATCCAGAGATTACGAATTCTAAATATGGGGAGATGCTAAGGTATCACATGCTGCTGCATTTTAAAACCGATGAGTTTGCAAGGCGTTGCATAGGAGCGCACCCAGCAGCCAGACAATTTATTGCCTGTCTGTATAAATTTTATGTGCCAACAGACAACTGGCTGACGGAAGAAGAGACAGAGGCAGCGGTCCTTCTAACAAACATCAAAATTGGGGCTTCAAAAAGAAAGAGATCGTCCAACTAAACGTAAACAAAGATGCAACACAGCGTTTACTCCGGGAGTTTGTAGCCGACGCGTCATGTTGACATTCCTCTTACTAGTGAGTGAGTTACAGAAAGTAGCAGACAAGTCCAGTTTCGGTCTGAACCAAAATGCTGTTCATTTCAGGTCGACAGAATTGAACACACTATGCGGTAGACTCCAACTTTAGCAGACTGCGGTATACGGCCCCCATCCCCCACCAAACCAGTCCCCTCCCAACCCCCACTTCACACCCAGTCTCAAAGTAGTCACAGCCCATATTCTGCGACAAGTTTTTAATGGGTTTAAACAACGTGTACACGGCGCTGAATCTCCACCTGTGAAGATTTTTTTAAACTAAACAAATCAGTTCGACTTCTAGATTGTACCCGATGTCGAAGGCCGTTCAGGTTTAAGTAAACTTTAAACGCTGACAACATAAAAACCGCTACAGTTGTTTATCGAGTCTCAAAACGCATTAAATCGAGTGCAACATATGTTCTGAATACGAATGCACTAGCTGGCTCTTAAATATTCACATTTAGTTTATATGTCTCATGGAAATCCCCTGTCTTCGTTAAAAAAAAGCCTAACCCTTAAGGATTAATCATTACAGATAAATTTGTATTTCAGGCCAGAACTGGTGGAGACACCACAGGGAATGAAGCACTGGAAGCGTACAAAGTTAATCATTTTCTCTTTATCACTAAAAAAAACTTCAAGCTTTATTTTTAATACAACAGATTATCCCTCCACCACCACCCCCAACCCCAAAACACAATGGTGTGCTTTAAATGCCGGTTATTCTATACAACAACGATACACAGAAGCGGGAACGTTTATGACGATTGTTCTGCCTTCCTGATACTGCATATTCAAAACGGACGCCATATATTACGTATATATTCAGCATTTATTTGACCAAAATATATCAGCATGGCAGAATGGTTCTTGTTTTCTTCATAAGATTGTGTGTACGGATGTATAAATGTCGCAAAACAGGGCCTGATTCGGCCCAGATTTAAACATTCCTAATTACAGAGTCTTCTTATTAATTTCAGCACAGGATAGCAATTCTCTCAACTTCTCCCTTATTAGGAAGAAGAGCAGTTTGTTATTATTATTGTGACTGTAATAGTATCAAAAAGGCAAAATCGTTTGACAATAAGGATTTTCTCTTCCAATCATGATAGATAATTATTGCCTGAAAGAATTATTTACACTGCACGCTAAATTGTGGGTTAAATTCAAAATCTTAATTGCTTGATAACAATTTTTCATTTGAATTCCAGGTCTTGATAGACACTGGAAACAGGAGTAGTGTTAACATAATATACCCTCCAAACATAGAATAAGAAAAAATATTATCTGTTCTCATCCTTTAATTAAGAGTAAAGATTTGAGGCTTTTTTCAGGAAAATATTCGAGCTAAATGGATAAAATAAATATTTTCCAATGTGGAGACACAAAGTTATAAACTATTACCCTCTCCTCCTCATTTCTTTGAATTTGAGTCTTTGAGGAATTCCTTATGAGACAATCATGGTTAGGTATATAAAAAACTGTGTGTGCTAGAACTCAGAAACAAAATCAGGAATTGATGGAAACACTCAGCAGGTCTGACAGCATTTGTGGAGAGAAAGCAGAGTTAATGTTTTGTGTCCAGTGACCATTCTTCAGAATTTACCTAGAAAGCATGCCTTCCCAATTTTGAAGAAGGGTCTGAAGATGTGATCTGAAGAAGGGTCACTGGACCTGAAATATTGAATCAGAGATAGTAGGAACTGCAGATGCTGGTGAATCTGAGACAACAAGGTGCAGGGCTGAATGAACACAGCAGGCCAAGCAGCATCATAGGAGCAGAGAGGCTGAAAAGCTTTTCTGATGAAGGGTCTAGGCCCGAAACGTCAGCCTCTCTGCTCCTATGATGCTGCTTGGCCTGTTGTGTTCATCCAGCCGTGGACCTGAAATATTAACTGCTTTCGCTCCACAGCTGCTGCCAGACCTGCTGAGTTTTCCCAGAAATTTCTGATTTTGTGATGTACAATCTTACCAAGGTTTCCAAGAACAGGAAGCTTGCACGTTTTGTATCATGCACTAATGCAGAAGTTTATTTTGCAATGTCAGTTCAACGAAGCCTCATGTTATTACAATAGA